TTTTCACTCAGAATATGAACAAATTTAATAATTTGTTCAAAACAAGCTGAAATGAAATTCTTGCCCATCCCAACTTTAAGCTAAGGGTGGTTTGTAGAAGGTTTCCTAAGGATACCCAGCACCATGGAGAGCATTGCCCATGTGCTTATTCTTCTCCCACCCTGCCCCCAACAGTAGCATCCTACTATTGGAGGTAGCAGGCACATTTCTTTTCATGGGCCTGACTTGTTTATGTATAATATGGGAAACAAATGGACAAATGACAAGATTACGTGGAACAAATTGGGTCTACCTTATCCTGCTCTAACTTACCAGCCTGCAGTCAGCAGCTCCATCCCACCCACCCCCACTCTTGACTCACCTCTGGTACAGCAAGGAAGAAAAAAGTAGCTACAGCCGGGCAAATCATATAAGCTAAGAAAGGTCCTCTCTCTTGTATGTTCCTTGTGCTATTCGTCCAAAATATCAGCCTGTCCTTCACTTTGATATATGAACAGGATGGGCTTTCTATGATTATGATCGTGTTTATTAGGATTTATATCCCACCTTTCCCCACAAAATAGAATTCAAGAAGGATAAGCACTACGTAAATGAAATATAGTGAAAGCATAAAATATATACACACTTGGCTTAGTCGTGTCTGGTATATCCTATGCAGGTAAAATTAGGAGTGACAATGCAGGCTGGGCTACTTCTGTAAACAGCAACCCCTGAGTCAACTTCTTTCTTTTCCCCACAATTGATAGTTATAAAAACATGCAACACAGTCTATGACTGCCACAACTGTGCATCCAGCAACAGTTAGTGATAAAGAACATATTCCCATACCTTTATTTTATGAGAGTTGGGAAGAGGGGGAGGAGTAATTCAGCACAAAATTATGTTCCCGTTACCAAATAGAAACACACTCCTGACTAACACACACAAGAAAAGCTGGCCAGGAAGCACCCTCCATGCGGCCTCTGCTCCCATGTAGCAATTTGCTCCTCCAAAATGACTAATTTTAGGGAGAGGATTCCACCACTAGGAAACCACTTGAACATGGTCAACCTTCTACATGGTGACTTGCTCTAGTTGAATTGTTACCATGAGGAGACAATCACTATAGGGATCAAATTAAAGAAGCTTCTAAATGAGGAGTGAGGCTGGCTGGATTATTATAGCTCTGTGTTTGAAGTACCTGGCTGAAAAACCAGAGGCTGAGAGTTTGATTCCCGCCCCTCCCACAGTGCCACCTTTGAGTACAGCCCACTGGTGTGGCCTTGGGCAAAGCTACACAATCTCAGGGCACCCCCAGAAGAAAGGAATGGTTGACCACTTCTGGGTATTCTCTACCTGGAAAACCCTGAAAAAGGTTTCTATAAGACAGAATTCACTTGAACACACATGATTATTATTAAATGAGGAGTGGACAACATACAGCCCCCTGCCAGGTGCTCTAATATGATACCCCATTTCCCCCACAATTAAAAAAAAAGCTTCTAAAAGTCCCACTGTGCCCTCTGAGTGGGGAAGCAATGTTCTCAAGGGATCCCTTCAACCCTGGGCCCTCCAACCCTCACAAAAATATATTTCATGTTTGTCCAATAGAGGCACAAAATGACTTTTTTAGTTTATATAGAAGTCATGGGAACACAACTGCAGTCTTTCAGTGTCCAGGATGACCATGTGTCACTCACTCACTCACTCACTCACTCACTCACACACACACACACACACACACACACACACACTTTTCTAAGGATAATCCACTCTTCTCCTCTAAACTCTTGTTTGGGTGTACTGACCCACCAGCTCTTGAAGAAGGCAGATTTTAATCTGGCACTTTCCTGTCAGCAATCCAGTTGTTTCTGGGTTTTGTTTTGCTTCTGTTCATGTTTTTTGTTTCTTGATGGAGAGCAGGAGTTCGTTATTAGTCACAAAAGGGTCTTTCCATGGATTGTGGGTGGGACGGGAAACCTGTGGTCCTCCAGATATCCTTGCACTGCCAACTCCCATCAGCCCTAGCCGCCACAGCCAAGAGTAAAAGCTGATGGGAGTTGTGATCCAAGAACATCTGGATAGTCACATCTGGACAGCCACACCAGCTTTACAGAATACAGTGGTGCCCCACTTAACAATGTTAATTGGTTCCAAAAAATTCATCGCTATGGGAAAACATCGCTAAGCGAAACGCATTTTCACATAGAGATGCATTGAAAACTGGATAATCCATTCCAATGGGAACGGATTGCCATCCTTAAGTGAAAATCGCCATAGGAAACATCACTAAGTGAAACGCGGTTCCCCCATTGGAATGCATTGAAATGGGGGAGGAAAAACATCACCAAAAATACAAAAAGAGTCCGAACAAAGCCAAATTTGGTTAACGAAGGGTTTATTAAGTGCACTAACGATTTCAAGCACTCTAAACCCTTTTAAAACAATTTAACACCTTTTAAAAATAGCGAAAATGGAGCTGTCAAAACATCGCTAAGCAAAACAGTGGACCTAAACTGTCATCGCTAAGCGAAGCAAGGTCCTGAACATCGCTATGCGAAATTCCCCCATTGGAAACATCGCTAAACGGAGCGCAAGATTGCTCCAAAAACCTCATCACTAAGCAAATACATCGTTAAACGAGGCAATCACTAAGCGAGGCACCACTGTATATCTTGGCAGGGTAAGGAGCCCTCACTGTGCCAGGCAGTAGCAAACATACTGTTTCAAAGAGGGTCTTATTCTTCCTAACCATGTCTTACAGAGTTTTTCCTTCAGCAAATGTCAACTAAGAGAATCCAGTACATTAACAAAAACAACTTGTGCTATTTGTGAGCAAGACACATGATTTTTTTTTACACCTTCCCCTGTGAGCGAATGAAAGTAACTACTACTGACACCCGGTGGTGGGCAAGCAAGCTAAAAATAATTACACTTTACCAGTAGGGAATCAGAATCAGAATTCCCTACAGCAGTCACCATAGCGGACTTGCATGTGATGAGAACTAGCAATTTCAGACACAACTGTGGCATAGCCAGGGTGAAAAGCGGGACTAAATGGCAACCTTCTCAGCCTAAGCTGCATCCCATTGGCTCTGAAAGGTTGAAGAATGGATTAGTTTGGCTTTCGGTTCCACAGGAGGCTTCTAAACATTACAGCTCCAAAATGGAGGAAAGACACAAAGAATATTCTAAAGTTATTCTTTAGAATAACTGGGCTATAAATCAATAAGCAGACATCGGTTATTGACAGTCATTGACGACACACCATTCTTTCCTGGGTACAAACCAAAACTGCCCATTTTCCCCTATTTCAGCAATATAAAAGACTTCCATTAGGCAGCCCGTAATCAAAGGATTTTTAACCTGACTTCCATTTCCTTACCAAGGCAGTTTCATGATAAGTGGTTGGTTGAATTGGTGGGGGGAAGCACACGGTTCCCATACATTACCAGGACCATCCATAAGGTAGGGAACATAACACTAATTTTCAAGACCCTGGGCTCTATTCTTCTGAGTGCTGCTACTCCATAGCTATCACTCTGTAGCTATCATGCTTAGCAAAAATAAAATGTGGCTGGTACGTAACAGATACGCCCTGGCTCAGCTTCTATGGGGTGCTGTAGCTTTTAAAGGATCTGTTGTTCATTTATCTTCTTACTCACTAGTTGCATTTGCAGCCCAGGTGGCAAACAAGGCTGTGCTCCTCCCAACAGACCTAAGACATATTAGTCAGACTGAAAAAGGGTGACTGGCCCAAGGGAATCCAGTGGCAAGAATACTATAGATGTTCAGAAAACGTTTGTGTGAGTTGCCATTGCTAATTGATGAGGTGCTGGAATGCATCTCAGTCATGTGCATGGCCATATGCCTGATTGCACAACCTGGCACCTCGTCAATTATTGTCATTAGCCACAGCACATTCTACAAACTTTATATCTCCGATGCCACATTCTAACCACCACACAAGACCTTCTCTCACCTGAGAGTGACCTGAGAGTCTACAATCACACCTTAACTGGATGATGGTAGTGCCCTGTTCAGAGCACAAACTGTATGTAGATTAAAAGATCCATGAATGGTCTGGTCCTACCCCCTTGCTGAAGGGAGATGTCCCAGTCAGAAGCCCACATCCTCCAGTGCAAGACACCTCTTTTGAAAATGAATCCAGATTGCCTAATCAGTGAGCTGCCACAAGCATAAAGCAAGCGCAAAGAAGGAGCATCACAGCAGAGGGGCCTGCAGGCCAAGAGTTGCTTAGCAAAACAATATAAATGACTCAATTAATTTTATTACAAGTATGCAGCTGGCTACAAGCATTTTATGTGATATAATAATGATCCCATCTGACCATAAGGCAGAGTCCCTGACATAACCTTCAGTGGGGGAAGTAGGTCCAAAAGAACCACCTGCTCCCAGATAGATCTCCAGATTCAGTCCATCCCATCAGACCATTCTTCAGGTCAACAGAGGTTAGGTGCGTCGTAAGCAGGGTGTGTGAAAGGACTTTTCTGTCCCTGGGTTATTCATTCATCTGGTATCTAATATTTCAGGTTTTAGGTACTAGTTTAAAACTTTGCTGTTGTTTAATCAGGCATTTAACAATTGATTTACCCTCTGCTAAAGATGTCTGAATTTCTGGGAAAGCAAGGTAGTCATGCAGCTTGTTTGTTTGAATTCTGAAGGCATTTTAGTTGATTTTCATCTTTCGAAATATATTATGCTGTTTCTCTCTATTAGGAACCATCTTACATTCCTTGGAAAATCATGAGGCACCTTTATAAAGAAGTAAGCAAATAAATACATCTCTCTCCAATCATCCTGCCAAGACCGGAGGCCGAAAGGTTCACATATATCTCTTAGAAAGTGCAAACTGCTCTCAGAGGTTATCCCAGTGGACATCAGCTACCTTAAACCAAGACAGAATATAAATAATTGTTTTTCATTTGTAGAGTACAATATAAATAATTGTACTGTACCAATTTTAAGTCCAGGCACCCAGAATAATAAAGAGGTTTCACCTTTGGAGTCAGGACCACAGCAGATCCTCCACTGATACTAATGATAGGTACATGGGTCTGGGATGAGATGAAGTCAAGAATCTGTGCAACGGCTTCTGTACCAATGTTGTCCTCAAAGACAATCCCGTGGATTTTTGTGCTGGACAGCATGCCGCAGATTTGGGTCAGGAGAGTGCTGGGGTTGGTATCATTCACTATCACCGTGACTGGGTGGATCTCCAAAGGCATATCCAGGAAGCTTTGGTGTGTCAGCCTGTTGCGGATGTGGGAAGGGTACGAAGAGCCTCCAAACACCACGGCCACGTTGACGACAGGTTCCCTGGCGTTTGGCAGCAGAGTCTCCATTAGGACAGCCGAACAGCCCAGCACCATGGACAGCACCAGGGCGTTTGTCAGAGCTCTGCCCATGTCCACCATGGAGTCCCTGCAATCCAGGACAAAGACAAAAGCACAGTTGGAAAAGGCAAGAATGGAAGACCCAGAAGGAGAGCAGGAGGAAGAAGATACAGAAGATGCTTTTACCCAGGAAAATCTCTGAGGGCTTTTTCACCCCATTTGCCACTGCGTGTACATAAATTAGAAAGCTAATCCCAGCTCTCTGGCCAGCACATCTCAGTGAAACATGATTTGTGAACATCTGTTTACTGCAGCCATGCATTATGGGTTTAGTTGCACAATTAAAAAAACAGAACATTAAAACTTGCAATACGTGGAATACTTCTGAGTCATGAAAAATTACTCTCTAATCCCACATTGCAATAACTGCCTGATGCTCCTCCCAGTTTTAGATATACGGTACTCATCTTGTAGCGCTACCTACACCACAAAACATCCCTTGTCTCTTAATCCCACCTCCCTCCATCATTCTCACTCTTGGATGAGATTTCCCAGTAACCTCCCACCATTCATTCATCCGCCTGGCCCCCTTCCTCTTCTTCCTTCCTTTTACTTCCCAAGGGTTCTTGCTCTTTCTACATCCCAATATCCCCGTTCAACTTCCACTATATCTCCTCTCTTCCAATCCTCTCCCCTTCTTCCCACTGTTCTATATATCAAGGACAGAGAATGGTTATTCTTTTGAGGGTCCAAATAATTATTTTATCTTATTTCAAATATTTTTGTCTTGCCTTTCTCCAGAAAAGAATACACAGTGGCTTCCATCGTTAAAAACACAATATTAAAAGCTAAAAAACAGTAAAAATTATTCAAATATTTAAAAAGAATTTATGAGACTATATTTAAAATGTTAGGTAAATGCATTACTACAAAACAGATTCTGAAGCAACAAAATACAAACAATCCCGTTTTAAAACCTCTCCTAGAAAGTCTGTCATTAAGGAAAAGCCTGCCTGAAGAGAAAGGTCTTTCTTTGCCTGCTTGTGGAAGGACAGCAGCGATGGTTCCAGTTTATCCTCCTGTGGTGAGGAGTTACAGTGTCTGGGAGCAGCAACAGAGAAGCCCCTTTCCCGTGTACCCACCAAGCACACTTGTGAGGGAGGGGGGTCTGAAAGAAAGGCCTCCCCTAATCATCTGAACACCTAGGAAAGCTCATAAAGGGGGACACAGTTTTTGAGAAAGCTTGGACCCCAGCCATTTAGACCTTTATAGGTTAAAACCAGCATTTTGGATTGTACCCAGAAATGGACTGCCAGCCAGTGGAGCTGCTTTAACAGGGGAGTTTATGTGATACATGTAATGGCTGCTAACAACCTGGCTGCAGTATTTTGGACCTGTTGACGTTTCTGAGCACTTTCTACAGGCAGTCCCATGTAGAGTGCATTGCAGTAATCCAGTCAAGATGTAACTGAGGCAGGTGTCACTGTGGCCTGATCAAGCATCTCCAGGAACAGGCACAACTAGTGCATTTGTTTTAATTGTACAAAGGCAGTTTTGGCCACTGCCAAAACTTGGGCATCCAGATTTCTGTGGTGGAGAGGAGTGTCTTTGCATAATTAAAACTAGTGCACCATCTGTGCCCATTTCTGACCTGGCTCCAGCGACACACGCCTTATATGCAAACCATTGGGTTTTGGACTGAAACCTTGGCCATGCAGGCAACAGGATTCTGGGAGTTCTAGCCCAAAAAAGGAACAATTGCCCATTCTATGAAGGCGATATTCTCTCTGAGGTCAGGGGTCACATGGCCCCTCGGTCAGAATAGGTGGTATGTGGTATGTTCTCTTTTCTCCTTTTATGGCACCCCCTTCTCTCTCTCTCTCTCCCTCCCTCCCTCCCCACCACCACCACCCACTCTTTTCTTTCTTTTTTCCTTTCCTTTTCTTCTGACACCCTCTTTTCCCTCCATAATCGTCTCCCTTTCTTTCTACTGTGGCGAGCCAGCTTCCTGACTGGGTAGAACCAGCTTCTTCCTGTTTTTGTCTGCTAGGAGCACATTTGGACCTTTGTATCCATTTGGTCAGGAAAGGAGGGTGTGGGGGGTTTTTTTGTGTATGGTTTTGTACCATTTTCTTAGATTGGCGGGAGCGCCACCTTTTGCGAAGTAGAGCAAGAGAGTTTTCAGTCTTTTCCTGGAGAGGGCCCCTTGGGACGAGTTCTGTTTTTTCTGACTGACTGAACCATGACCTGTTGCTAGGCTGACCCTCTAAGGGAAACCCCACTGAACCAGGAATGAACAGTTTTACAGTTTAGAAAAAGAGCTGTGCGTTTTAGAAAGAGTAAGTAGAGCACTTCTGGCTCTTCCTTTACGTGAGGGGCTTTTCCTGGGAAGAAAGTGGAAGTGTTCTGGGGAAATCAGAGAAGGAGTGACAAGGCCATAAAGGCAAGAATGCGAAAGGAGCTCAGCCGTTGAGAAGGAAAGGGCCAGGAGCAGAGCTCCAGGGGCTGCATAAAAGGAGACCAAATCCTGCACATGGTCTGTGACCCACATTTTCCTGATCTCTGCTCTGCATGGGTTGTTTTAAATTGCCACCCCCACCTCCTGCATCTCCCTGACTGCCTTCTAAATTATAACACCCACTTCTTCACTTTTCTCAATTTCCTTCTACTGCCATCCAGTGGTCAATCCCCACGGCTTCTTCCTACGATCACATTTCCGTCTACATAACACTTTTTCCCCTCCTTTCTGGCCTTCTTGGCTCTTGCTGCTCCTCTTCACTCCCATCCAGTGCGCATGACCTTTTGGGTTTCTCAACAGGTACTGCTGTAACTATCTTTTTAGCTCCTTTTTGGCATCTAACAAACTCTTCTAACATACAGCACAGCCGGAGACGACCCCTCCCAGAGCAAAAGGCTTGCGGATAAATTGCCTGGTGTTTTGCACACGCCTGATGATCAAATATTTAAGAGGAAAGGCTCTCCTCTCCTGTCATTCGCCTACTCTGTAAATCATCTTGACGGGCAAATTCCAGCACTCCCCAACACCGGTGTAGGCAAAGCGTTCTGGCCACCAGTCAATCACCTAAGCTTAGTGGCACTTCATCCTCACCCTTTTTTTGCTATCAGAAGCGGAAAATCAGCACTTCCTACACCACCTGCGAAAACTCCCCAAGTGAACGCAGCCCCGAGAACTGCATTAAGTGGCTCTTTGGTGCAGGGAGGGAGGTTGCCCTTTCCGAAGCCAAAAGGTTGGCCTTTTTCCTACACCTCTCCTCAACCACCTCCTTCTCAACGACAACTCGGCCATCCAAGACCAGCTCAAGCTGTCTCTTCTGCACCTGCCTTTTCAGGGGAAAAAAAAGACAGCAAGTTCATTGACTTGCCAGGTTGTTTTATATGCCTTCTCATATTTTTAGCCAAAAATACAATCAAAGGCTTGTGCATTACTATTTATTTTATTTAAAATATTTATACCATGTTTTCCTGCCTCTGAGAGGCCAGAGGCTACTAACAGCACAAAAATATTAAAACAATCCTACAGTACCAAAACAGCAGACCAGAGTCAGCAGACCTGGATATTTTTTTAAAAAAAATGTGCCCAATATTATAAATTTAATAAAGGTCCAGTGGAAAGCATATGTCTTGTCTCAGAATATGAACACAGTTTTAAAGAAGAGGCTAGATAAACCTGCTTGTGCAGGGAATTACATAGGCTAGGAAGAACCTGGAAGAATTACCTTCTCTGGACAACATCTTCCAGAATCCCGCAGCCAGTGCAACCACGTTGATCTGAGAACTGTAGCCCTCAATGCATTAACTTTTCCAAGATCTCTTTCTGAATGTCATTTTTTTCAGCCAAGACATCCAGAAAAATAACTGAGTATGGTGGGTGCAACTGAGGAAAAAGCTTTCTCTCATGTTCCCACTAATTATGATGGGGATGAAATGTGAAAAGGAGTCTCTCCTGATGATTTAAGGAAATCCATATGGAAAAAGGGGATGTTTACAGTATTGTGGGTTCAAGCTTTCTAGGGCTTTAAAACAATAACTGTACTTTGAACTGATCCTAGAAATGGACCAGAAGCATTGTTCAGTGAAGAGTCTGGTGGTTATGGGTGGCTTCTGCAACACCACAGATTTCATTCTTTAAAAACCTTCACCTGTTTCTAGACCTCATGAGCGCATGAACCTATGAGGAAAGCAGCTGGATCAGAGAGCTTTAGTCCAGCAGTATGTTACTCACAGTGGCCAATCAGATTTCTCTGGGAAGCCCAATAGTGGGTCATGATGGTAACAGCCTTCGGTGGTTATTTGGGGAAAGGAAGAAATTGTGCAGTTGGCAAGTAGGTGGGCTTCTGTACCCGCAGAGTCCTCATTTCACTGGCCAAACTTCCCAGTCTTCATTGGCCCTGTCTCTCCTTTCATTCTTCCCATAACCACTTCCTTTCCGCAAGATCCCACACATTCCCATCAAAGAGTGGGATATAAATATGCTTGTCTATTTGATTATGAGTCTGGAATGTAAATCTTTTTGTTCCAGAATTCAAGACCTATCATTGCGGTAATATTCAATCTACTCCCTCTCTCTCACTCGCTCGGTCTCTCGCTCTCTTACTTGTTGCTGAAGAAGACCTAGCATTACTTCAAGAAACAGTTCTATTCCAGACTTTTAGAAAAGCAGGTGTTCATTCCAGGGTGCAAATATCTAAACATCAGTCTTTTGAATCACTTCCTTCTCTCCTTCATTTCTAATCCTTGTCCCCATTTAACCTCCATGGAGCTATTAAACCATTCAATTTACATCCAATTCACTGTAACTACCTCAATCTCTGATGCAAAAGTCCAAGGCATGTGGAACTTCTGTAATTTCCATTATGCAAAGGAGGAATATTTGCAATGTTGATTGTAGTTTTAGATTATATGTATTCTTCTTGCAGGATGTATGTTTCCTCTTTGCATAATTAAAAGGTTCATGATCATGGCACAATGTGCATTACAATAGCTCCTTCACAGGAAAAGTTTTGTCCAGCCTGCAGATAAAACAAATGAGGTAACCAATACAAGTATTCAATGAATGAAAAAAAAAGA